GCAACTCAGACCAGGGTGCTGCTGTTCTGTCAGGTGCTGAAGCGGAATCAGCTCTGAGTATAGACACTGGGGTGAGGGAAGACCCTCGTCAATGCCACCTTTCTTGACTCCACTGGGAGGAGTCATTACCTACCCTTGGTCCTGCTTACGCACAGTATGGCTACTATTGTCCAGGCTCAAAACACACTACTGTAATTTGCCTGATTATGGGTCTCCTTCCCTCTGACTGATCTCCTATTGCTCACAGGTGGGTCTAACTTGCCTTGGTGTCCCCAGAACCCAGCACAGGGCCAGTTGCACGACTGGCATTTGATAAACACCTCATGATTGACTGTGAAAGGAGCATAGCTTTTTTAGATGATCCAGTCGATGGTTTTGACAGTCGTGTGGCTCTTTACCTGTCTTTGCCCGGGCATATGAATTTACGTGTCCTTCCTATTGTATGTGTTGGATAAGGATAGTAAAGAGATGCTGACCTTAATATTCTATGTCTTTATTTCTCTACTCAGCATGTTTGGGGCCTACAGCATAGATGTGATTGCTGGCACATCATTTGGAGTGAACATTGATTCCCTGAACAACCCACAAGATCCCTTTGTGGAAAATATCAAGAAGCTCTTAAAACTTAATTTCCTTGATCCATTCATTTTCTGCCTAAGTATGTGGACTACTGTATTTTTTTCTTTCTCCCGCATGTCCTCCCTCCTTTCACCACCTCTTCTCTCTTTCTTCCTCTCTCTCTCTTTCTCTCTCAGCTCATTTGAGATATCATTCACATACTATATAATTCATTCATCCATTTAAAATGTACAATTCTATCATTTTTACAACCTAGTGTCTGTCAACAGATAAATGAATAAAAAATGTGGCATATATAAATAGGTGATAGATAGATAGATAGATAGGTAGATAGATAGATAGAATGGATATTATTCAGCCATAAAAAGGAAGAAAATCTTGCCATTTGCAACAAGATGGATGGACTTTGAGGGCATTATGCTAAGTGAAATAAGTCAGACAGAGAAAGACAAATACTGTAGGATCTCACTTATATGTGGGATCTAAAAAAATACTCAAACTCATAGAAAAATAAGAAATGATTTGTGTTTATCAGAGGCAGAGTTTGAGGGTGGGAGTTTTAGTTGAAGGTGCTCAAAAGATACAAACTCTCAGTTATAAGATAAACTAGAGTCTAGATTCTTAAAGTTCTAATCACACAGAAAGAAAAATATTTTTAACTATGTACAGTGATTTATGTTAACTAAACTTACTATGGTCATTATTCCACAATATATGTATATCTAGTCATTATGCTGTATACCTTAAACTATGTCAATTATAACTCAATGAAGTGGAAAAGTTGTTTTTAGTACATTCAGAGATATGTGCAGCCATCATTATGTTACCTAGAACAATAGAGGCCCAGTGCATGACATTTGTGCACTGGGGGCGGAGTCCCTCAGCCCGGCCTGTGCCCTCTCACAGTCTGGGACCCCTAGGGAGATGTATGCCTGCCATGGAGGTGGGATAGGCTCCCACCACCACCACTGCACTCGCCAGCCGTGAGCCTGGCTTCTGGCTGAGCGGTGCTCCCCTTGTGGGAGCACACTGACCACCAGGGGGGCAGATCCTGCATTGAGTGTCTGCCCCCTGGTCAGTGCAAGTCATAGTGACTGGTCATTCCACCATTCGGTCAGTTTGCATACAGTAGGTTCTTGGGTTACATCGGAGATCCGTTCCAATGGTGTGAAGTAATGTGATTTTCAGTCTAAGTTGGAACCCACGTACATAAGCACCTATGTCACTCACATACCCAGCAGTAATGAAGTGAAACAGTAAAAAAAAAATTTAAAAGAAAGATAACAATTCCTGACCTTTACTTGTGGTAAATAAATAATAAAAAACATAAAGCACATATGCACATATGTCAAAATGATGGAACTTTTTTAAAATAAATAAATGGGAGATGGTAATGTAACCACAAAACAGCATATGTCGAGTCCAACCAACATAACCCGAGGACTGTCTGCATTAGGGTTTTATTATATAGGATTTTTGTCAACTTAGATATATGGCACTTTTTAACATTAACATTCCATTCCCCTTAACTCAAAACAACCTCTAATCTACTTTCTGTCTGTAAATTTGCCTATGCTGGACACTTCATATAAATAGACTCACATATGTGGATTTTTGTTGCTGGCTTTTAAAAATTTAGTATAATGTTTTCAAGGTTCATCCATGTTGTAGTATGTATCAGTACTTTATATTTATTATGACCCAATAATATTCCATTGTATGAACATTATGTTTATTCATTCATCAGTTAATGAGCATTTTGGTTGTTTCTACCTTTTGGCTCTTGTGAATAATGTCTCTGTAAACATTCTGTACACTTTCTTGGTGATAACCTATTTCAATTTTGAGAGGTTTCATTTGGTTTTAATTCAGGGGTGGAATTGCTAAATACTATATTAATCTGTGTTTACCTTATCAAGGACCTGCTAAACTTTATTCTACAGTAGTGACACCATTTTACATCCCCATCAGTAATGTATGAAGGTTTGAATTTCTCCACAGCCTCACCAACACTTGGTTGACATTTTTCTATCTTTTTTATTATAGCCATTCTAGTGGGTATGAATTGGTATCTTATTGTGGTTTTTATTTGGATTTCTCTAATGACTAATGATTTTGATATATTTGTTGGCCATCTTTGTATCTTCTTTAGATAAATTTCTATTCAAATGCTTTGTCCATTTACATTTGAGTTGTTTGTCTTTTTGTTGTTGAGCCGTAAGAATTCTTTATATATTCTAGATATAAATTCTCATCAGAAATAAGTTCAGAATTTTTCTCCTATTCTGTAGGCATCTTTTCTTTTTCTTTGTGTCTTTGAAGAACAAATTTTTTCATTTTGATGACCTATAATTTATGTATTTTTTCTTTTATTGCCTGAGGTTTTGGTGTCATGTATAAGATCCATTGTAAAAAAAAAAAAGATCCATTATCAAATAAATAGTTATCACTTGGGCCAGGGATTGAACCTGCAATCGAGGTACAGGCCCTTGACCAGGAATCAAATCCATAAGCCTTTGGTCCGAGGGCCCACACACTAACCACTGAGAAAAACTGGCCAGGGCATATCTATTTCTTTTTGAGTCAGTTTCT